TTTTTCTTTGTCTGCTTCGGCTATAGTTGCGTGATTTTGTGTTAGTTTTTGTTTTATTTGCTTGGTAGTGTATAGTTGTTCCTTATTTTGTTTATTATTTGTTTTTTGATTGGCTAAGATTTGTTTTAGGTTGGTTGTTGCTAGGTATCTGATTGCTTCTTGTTGTTTACTGTCTTTTATTTGTCGTATTGAGTGTACTCAACTATCTTAGCATGTTTTGTGCTTTTACACGTCAACATATCGTAGCAGCGTCCACACGACAAACATAATTGTGAACATCAAAAAAAGCGACAGTGTTTCCATAATTATAGCAAGTGCCTCTGATGATGGTTGTGTCAAACCGAAACATGTAAGACAGAAATAATAATAAAAAGTGACCTACAAATTGTTACACTCGACGGACTTTCTATTAACTTTGTGATTGATAGTGTAACGGACCAAAATGATACAATTCAAAACATATACTTAGTTTTCTCAGTGTTTACTTCCAGACCAACCTCCTTAATTACGTCAATTAAAGTTTGAGTGTTTTTCTTTAGGTATCTATATTATCATGCAGTATATTCCCATCATCGGTATAGACCAACAGCTGATGTGTCCAGTTTAATTTCAGTCCCACCTGGTTTTCCTGGACCTTCCTAATGGCACATTTTAAAACAAAGTTGAAAAGGAGTGGCGAAAAGCATCTCCTTGTTTTAGACCATTCTGGATAGGAAATTTATCAGACAAATGTTTACCTACATGGACTTCACTATACGCTTCCTTTAAACACATTTTAATCAGCCTAACCGTTTCATAGGTGTCCCAAACTCTATCAGAATATTGTACAATACTTCCCCCATAACTGAATCATATGCTTTCTTGAAGTCTATAAATAGCTGATGTACTGTCTCATTGTACTCCCATTTTGTCTCCAATATCTGACGAAAGCAAAAGATCTGATCTGTAGTTAACCTGTTACGTCAAAACCCACACTGATGATCCCCAGTAATTTCATCTATATTTGGACTTAACCCTGAGAGAAGAATATTGGATACGATTTTGAAAATTTTGTATGAAATTGATTGCAACGATATTCCCCGATAATTACTACATCCAGTTTTATCGCCCTTCTTGTGAACTGGTAAAATAATAGACTCCTTCCACTGATCAGGCAATTTTTCCTCATGCCAAATAAAGTAATTACTTATGGATTTTAGAACGCAATATTTAACCTCCTGCTTGAATAAGTTCTGCCAGAATTTGATCACTACCTGGCGATTTATACCGTTTCAATTTTGCAATAGCACTTTCAACCTCAAAAGGTCTACTAACGGCTCAGTTGTATGGATTGTCTGCCTAACATCACTGACCCTGTGTACATTTAATAACTGAGAGAACTAGTTCTTCCACCTATTCAAACTGTTGTGGGAATCAGCAAGCAGATCACCATTCTCATCCTTCACTAAGTTACTTCTAAGGCCGCGCCACAGCTCAAGCGGTTAGTCGCTGGCTTCCCACCGCGACGGCCCGGGTTCGATCCCGAGTCTGGTCAAGTGGGATTTGTGGTAGACAAAGTGGCGCTGGGGTAGGTTTCTCACCTATAATCTGGGGCTGGTACAATAGTCCAGAAGTGGCCGCAGTACAAGGGACTTAGTCCCACCCCACTAGCATTAAAAAAAGTTACTTCTAGGTTGGTAACCCCTCTTAAGGTCATTTATTCTTCTACAAAGGTTTCTAATGTTCTTGTTCTTACTGTTCATTGCAAGCTCATCAATTTTGTCTTTCAGATATTCCCTCTTTTTGTTCCTGAAATGGCTGCTGGTTTTGCATCATATATTGTTCAGATTATCCTCATTTACAAGGTGTGTCCCAAAAGTCATGAAATATATTTCTTTCCCGCGCTCCTACTGGTCGGAGCGCGCTGGAACCGGTTGGGTTAGGGGGGGGAGGCCTTTAGCTTCACAGCGCGCCCAAGGTCAGTCTGCTCGAGCATCGGAGGCGTCAGTGTCGCTGATTTAGTGCACCTGTGTTTTGTGACCACGTCACGGCGGGCGATGGCGGATACTTTCGAAAAACGTTGGGAGGTCAAGTTCTGCACAAAGCTCAACAAAAAAGCTGCCGAAACTCACGAACTGCTTAAGCAAGCCTACGGGGAGTCTGCTCTATCATATGTGCAAGTTACAAGGTGGGTGAAGAAGTTTAAGGAGGGCCAGGAAGGAGTGGAAGATTACCCCCGCTCTGGACGGCCATCAAAAAGCCAAACCGATGAAAATGTGACTCGTGTGCGTGATTTGTTGAATACTGACCGTCGAATGACTGTCTGGTTGTTAGCCGACACTCTGAACATTCCAAAAGATTAAGGCAAAGGGTCATCCGCGTGCGAAAAGACATCGCGGCTAACTGGCGTCTGCATCATGACAATGCGCCCAGCCACACGTCTCTGCTCGTCCGTGAGTTCCTGGCGAAGCACCACGTGGCAACGCTGCCGCAGCCACCCTACAGCCCCGACCTAGCTCCGGCCGACTTCTTTTTGTTCCCGAGGATCAAGACTGCACTCAAAGGATGCCGTTTTGAAAGCATTCAGGCTATCCAAGCGGCCGTGACAACAGCTTTAAATGAGGTTCCCGTCGAGGCCTTTGATGGGGCGTACCGGGCATGGGAGAGTCGGTGGAAAAAATGTGTAGATGCTCATGGACAGTACTTTGAAGAATATTAACACTCTGTACCGGTATCATCAATAAATTAAAAAAAATATATATATATATTTCATGACTTTTGGGACACACCTTGTATTTCACTTGGATCCTGTAACCATTGCAATTTGGCTTCTTTTCTTTGGTCTAATAATTTTGAACATCCTTCATCGAACCCTGGCTTATGCTTCTTCAGTTCATAATAACCTGGACCCTCCTTAACAGAAATGTTGATATTTTCTCTAATAGTTTCCCAGCCTTTATTAACATCCACCTCAGCATCCAAGTTCTCCAAAGCCACGATCCTATTTCAGATTTCAACACAATACTGCTCTTTACCCACCACCTCATTTAATTTCTTGAGAGTGAACCTCTCCATATGAACTCTGTGCGTTGTTTGTTTGCTCACTGCCAGTCTTTCCCTAACCTTTGCCATCGCCAAGTAGTGGTCAGTATCACAGTCTGTTGCCCTGAATGATCGGACATCAAGTATACTTGAGTGCCGTCTCCTGTCTATCAAAATAGGTCGATTTGATTGTGTATCTTCCCATCAGGAGATGTCCAAGCAAATTTATGGATGTTACGATGTGGGAACATTGCAGTACTTTTGACAGTAAGATTTTTGGATGTGGCAAAGTTTACTACTCTAACTCCATTATCATTACTAATTTCATGCAAACTCTCATTCCCAATCGTTGGTTTGAAAATGTCTTCCCTCCCTACTTTGGCATTGAAATCTCCTAACAAAATTTTCATAGGGTACTTCGGAATTTATTAAATACATGTTCTAATTCTTCATAGAGTCTATCCTTTATGTCATCAATTTTATCTTCTGTTTGGGCGTGAACATTCGTAACGATGATATCACATCGGACACCTTTTAATATTATATATGATATCCTATCACTAACGAACTCTAAGCCTCTTAAGTGCTGATACGATTCTCTTATGTACGAAAAACCTTTACCTAGTTCATGATTTTCATTCCCCTTTCCATAGACAAATGTATATTCACCTGCTGATTCAGTGCCACCCCTGCTAAATCTAATTTATATTTTGAGATTTCTTCTGCCACTGCCCTGAGCGAACCTGCCCTATACAAACTTCTGACGTTGTTTGGTGGGTCCCTTGTTACCACGGCATAGCGCGTTCTCAGGTTGCGGATGGAGGAGACGCCCTCTAGGCATGGAAGGAAGCTGCGAATATATTTAATAAGCAGTCGCGGACAGCCGACAAAGGGTGGTCCTTCAGCTTGAGTGTTGGGGGTGGGGCTAAAAACTCCTCACCGTAAAAATAATCCAGTTACAAAAATGAACATAGGCTCTGGATAAACGAGATATGAGAGCTTAGCATTGCTTTATGTGCAGCCCCCGCTCGTCTCTCTCGTTTGCAGGAAATTCTCGATAAACTACGATTTCCAGACACGCAACGTACACACAGTCAACATCGGTAAAACCCAGAAAATTTGTTGAAACTGTAACATGTATACCTTGTATCTGGGAGACTCCTGGTTCGAATCTCGGCAAAGATTATTCTGAGACATTCCATCGTTTTCCTCAGTTCCTCGAGCAAATGATACTATAGAATATTGAATTTAGACACCAACTATTGCATTCAAATCCCTTTCAATTCTTCATTCGGTGAGATTAAGTCCTCACAGCGATGGAACTAACATAACTGACGCAGTGCAGTCTGGTAGGAGTTTACAGAGGTTTCGGTGGAACATACTGCCTTCACCGTCAAGGTTAGAAGAGATTCAGTTCGTATATTCTTCCGAAACGTCGGTAAAACTCCACCAGAAAACAACATGTGACATTAAGTTGTATGAAACATTCGGCGCTCTGAAGCCTCATTATAAGAACTAACAAATAAACGCATTAAAATGCAGCTGTAAATGTGCCAGACAGGAAAGATACCCAGAATTCAATTTAAATTTAGGGGGTTGTTTCGATTTGATTTTTAGGATGTTTTGTCAGTGTTGCTAGTAGCGAGCTCCTGGAATGTCATCACAGTACAACAGGAGAAAGACTTTTCACCCAACACTTCAGAAACATTTGTTACTTCGCCGGAAACAGATGTCTCTCCCCTGTCAGTGTCAACAGGAGATAATCTCACAGAGCAACAAGCAACTGAAGCAGTATCAGTCCAGGACAGAAGCGAAGAAACTTCCATATCACCTGTTCCACATTCACCTGCTCAACTCCTGAACGAAACAGAATCTCAGAATCAAACGTCATTTCCAGGCGAAGTAACGGAGATCATGACAACTGCACCAGAAACAAAATCCGTTGAAGATAACTCTTTATTACTTCATGGATTCAACGGTCTCAACGCAACACGCGGCCAAAACAAAAGTAACGAATCAGAGCCCGTTACCACACAAATTGTACGGCCTGTCAGGAACAGCAAAAGTCAGGAATTTTCAACGGATAATGGCCTTGAATTTGTTCAACAAGAATCCGCTACTAGACGAACAGCAGTAGTGGCAGGCACTCAAGCAACGGCTGCCTCAACATTCACTCGACAGGGATTAGCAAACAACTCATCACAACCTGACTACGTCACAAGAGAAATTACAAGTGCTGAAACATCCAGTGTACTGGGCTTAACAGCCACAACACTACAATCAGAACCAGTTACCATAGCAGCCATAAATGAGACTACAGCTGACGAAATGTCCTGTGGAATCGGCTTAAATACTTGGCCACAACATGAACTGGTTCCCTCAAGAGCCATCAGCAAAGACACAAGTGAAGGACATAGCGTGTTAACAGCGAAAACACCACAACCACAAGACGTTCCGGCAGACAAAGGTGAAGCAACCTTCGCTGAAACATCCACTGTAACGGAAATGCTAAATAAGAGACAACAATCTGAGTCAGATTCAACAGCGGTCAAAAGTGAGATCAAAACTGATGGAAAATCAAGTGCACAGTGTGAACCGATTCAGACATCATTCACAGGAGAAGCCAAGAAGAATAAAGTATACATTTTGCCGGAAGTAAATGGACCGAGTTCAGTAACAGTTATAACTGAGGTCAGAACTGCTGAAACTTCCAGTAAACCCGAATTAACAAACGATGCTCAGCATTCCGAAATACTTTCTGAAACAACAGCAGTAAGTGAAACCATAATTTCTGAAATAACCAGACCACCGGAAGTGAGTAGCAATACACCACAACTAGAACCGGTTCAGAACAAAATAACAAGTGAAAACATAAATCATGAAATATCCAATGGACCGGAAGTAAGAAATACGACACAAGAATTTGAAGCGGCGACAAGTAAAGCAACCATTGCCAAAATTTCAAGTCCATCAGAAGCATCTACCACGACAACACAACCTGAAAGTATTCTAACAAAACGAAACTCTCAAGTTGCTATTGATGTTGCGTCCAGTAAATGGGAATTAACAAACAGCACAGCATTAAACACAAGCGGGCCCACATACATTGATACAGTCATTATACCGGAATTAACAAACGTCTCACTAAAACTTGAAAGAGCTTCGACGTCTTACTTAAACTTAACAAAAAATGTTGAAAATAAGAGAGCATCGAGAGCTACAATCTCCACAACAGAACTTGAAAAAGCTACCATAAAAAGCACAAGAGAGATCACGGATTCTAACATACTCATTTCACCAAATCAAACAAAGATCATACAAAAGCAATTAAGGGTTCAAGCAAGACCCATACGTGATACAACAAACGAAGCAATATCCAGTATAAGAGGGAAAAGAAACGGTATAAAAAATAATAATTTCCTAGCAACAACAGATATAAGGGAAATCATAGCACCTGCAATATTCACTACACAAGAATTAATAAATGCAACGGCACAAGAGGTCACTGCTCCAAAACAACTCGAAGTAAAAAACGCGAAAGCAGATGTATTCGGTTTCCCAAAAATTACAAGTCAGTCATTCAAATCTGGACTGGATAAAAGTGGCGTGCAGATTGAGGTCACAATTTCAGAAAAATCCGGAGAACAGGATTTAAAAAACGCAACACCAAAATCTCTATCAGCTCAGGCTGCACTCAAAAGAGAAAATGAACACAAAGAAAAATCCGGCATACTACACATACAAAATACATCTCATCCAGGAACATACACTAAAATAATTCTAAATGAGAATGCAACTGGAGAGGGGATGAATCTGCAACAACAAACATCAACAACACAGCATTATGAACGACTACACAAAACGAATAAAAAAACGAACAGAACTGATGAGTTACACACCTTATTAGAAACAACCCCCAAAAAAACACAATCAGGAAAAAAACTTATTGTTGAGACCACGACTGCTGAAGTACCCAGTCTACTGAAAATAAAATCTACAACACCACCAACTGAAGCATTCATTATAAACCTACTAAATGAGACCAAGAATATTGAGGGACTACAATCACTGGAATTAACAACTACCACACAACAACCTGAATCATTAACTACTACATTAATAAATGAGACCACAATTGCTGAGGTATCCAGTCCACTGGAACTAACAACTACCAAACCACAATCTGAAACAATCATTATAAACTCAATAAATGAGACCACGATTTCTGAGGTACCCAGTCTACTGGAATTAACAACAACCACACCACAACCTGAAGCATTCTCTAAAAACCTACTAACTGAGACCAAGAACATTGAGGGATTACAATCAGCGGAATTAGCAACAACCACACCACAACCTGAATCATTAACTACAAACTTAATAAATGAGACCACGATTGCTGAGGTACCCAGTCTACAGGAATTAACAACTACAACACCACAATCTGAAGCATTAACTACAAACTTAATAAACGAGACCACAGTTACTGAGGTACTCAGTCAACTGGAATTAACAACTATCACACCACAACCTGAAGAACTAACTACAAACTCGATAAATGAGACCACAGTTACTGAGGTACTCAGTCAACTGGAATTAACAACAATCACACCACAACCTGAAGAACTAACTACAAACTCGATAAATGAGACCACAGTTACTGAGGTACTCAGTCAACTGGAATTAACAACAATCACACCACAACCTGAAGAACTAACTACAAACTCGATAAATGAGACCACGATTGCTGAGGTACCCAGTCTACTGGAATTAACAACTACAACACCACAACCTGAAGTATTCACTACAAACCTAATAACGGAGACCAAAACTACTGAGGTACTACAACCACTGAAATTAACATCAACCACACCACAAACTGAACAATATACTACACACTTAAAAACTGAGACCATGACTGCTGAGGTACCCAGTATACTGGAATTAACAACTACAACACCACTACCTGAAGTATTCACTAAACACTTCATAAATGAGACAAAAACTACTCAGGTACTAGAACCACTGGAATTAACAACTACTATATCACAAACAGAAGCATCCAGTACAAGATTAATAAATGAGAACAAAACAACTGATGTTCCAAGTCTCCTGGAAATAACAACAACCACACCACAACCTGAAGCATTCACTACAAACTTAATATATGAGACCATGACTGCTGATGTACAAAGTCTATTGGAATCAACAAATACCAGGCAACAACCTGAAGAATTCACTACAAAATTAATAACTGAGACCATTACTGCTGAGGTACCCAGTATAAGGGAATTAACAACTACCACACCACAAAGAGAAGCATTCTCTAAAAACCTAATAACTGAGACCAAAACTACTGAGGTATTAGAACCACTCGACTTAACAAAAACCACTCCACAACCTGAAGTATTCACTACAGACTTAAAAAAAGAGGTGACGACTGCTGAGGTACCAAGTCTACTGGAATTAAGAACTAACACAGCAGAACCTGAAGCATTCAGTAAAAACATAACAACAGACAAAAAAATTACTAATGTAACACAACCACTGGAAATAATATCTACGACACAACAACCTGAAGCATTCAGTAAAAACTTAAAATATGACAACAAAACTACTGAGGTAACAGAAACACTGGAATTAACAACTACCACACCACAACCTGAAGCATTCAGTACATCCATAATAACTGACAAGAAAACTACTGAGGTAACAGAACCACTGGAATTAAGAACGACCACACCACAGCCTGAGGCATTAACTACAAACCTAACAACTCAGACCGTCATTTTTGAAGTTCACAATCTACTGGAATTAACAGCCACTAAACCACAACTTGAATCATTCTCTACAAACCTAATATCTGAGACCAAACCTACTGAAGTACTACAACCACTGGAATTCACAACTACCACACTACAATCTGAAGCACTCTCTAAAAACTTAATAAATGAGACCACGACTGGTGAGGTAATCAGTCTACTGAAATTAACAACTACAACACCACAACCTGAAGTATTCACTAAAAACATAATAACTGAGACCAAAATTACTGAGGTACTAGAAACATTGGAATTAACATCAACCACACCACAACCTGAAGTATTCAATATAAACTTAATAACTGAGACAACTACTGCTGATGTACCCAGTATACTGGAATTAACAAACACCAGGCAACGACCTGAAGAATTCACTACAAACTTAATAACCAAAACCACAACTGCTGAGGTACCCAGTCTACTGGAATTAACAACTACAACTCCACTAACTGAAGTATTCAATATAAACTTAACAAAAGAGACAAACACTACTGAGGTACTAGAACAACGGGAATTAACAACTACCATACCACAAACAGAAGTATTCAGTACAAGACTAATAAATGAGAACAAAACGACTGATATTCCAAGTCTCCTGGAATTAACAACTACCACACCAAAATATGAAGCATTCACTACAAACTTAATATATGAGACCACGACTGCTGATGTACCCATACTACTGGAATTTACAACTACCAGGCAACAACCGGAAGCACTAACTACAAACCTAATAACTGAGGTACCCAGTCTACTGAAATTAACAACTACCACACCACAACCTGAATCATTCAGAACATTCATAATAACTGACAAGAAAACTACTGAGGTAACAGAACAACTGGAATTATCAACTGCCACATCACAACCTGAAGCATTAACTACAAACCAAACAACTGAGACTGTCATTTCTGCGGTTCCCAGTCTACAGGAATTAACAACAACCACAGCACATTTTGAAGAATTCACTAAAAACCAAATAACTCAGACCAAAATTACTGGGATACCAGAACCAATGGTATTGACAAATAATAGACCACAACCTGATGCATTCAGTACAATCCTAAAAATTGAGAACAAAACTACTGAGGTACCCAGTCTATTGGAATTAACAACTATCACACCACAACCTGAACCATTCAATATAAACTTAATAAACGAGACCACAACTACTGAGGTACCCAGTCTACTGGAATTAACAGCCACTAAACCACAACTTGAATCATTCTCTACAAACCTAATATCTGAGACCAAAACTACTGAAGTACTACAACCACTGGAATTCACAACTACCACACTACACTCTGAAGCACTCTCTAAAAACTTAATAAATAAGACCACGACTGGTGAGGTAATCAGTCTACTGAAATTAACAACTACAACACCACAACCTGAAGTATTCACTAAAAACATAATAACTGAGACCAAAATTACTGAGGTACTAGAAACATTGGAATTAACATCAACCACACCACAACCTGAAGTATTCAATATAAACTTAATAACTGAGACAACTACTGCTGATGTACCCAGTCTACAGGAATTAACAAATACCAGGCAACAACCTGAAGAATTCACTACAAACATAATAACGGAGACCACGACTGCTGAGGTACCCGGTCTACTGGAATTAACAACTACAACACCACTAACCGAAGTATTCAATATAAACTTAATAAATAAGACAAAAAATACTGAGCTACTAGAACCACGGGAATTAACAACTACCATACCACAAACGGAAGGATTTAGTACAACACTAATAAATGAGAACAAAACAACTGATTTTCCAAGTCTCCCGGAATTAACAACTACCACACCAAAATATGAAGCATTCACTACAAACTTAATATATGAGACCACGAGTGCTGATGTACCCAGTCTACTGGAATTTACAAATACCAGGCAACAACCTGAAGCACTAACTACAAACCTAATAGCTGAGACTGTCATTGCTGAGGTACCCAGTCTACTGAAAATAACAACTACCACGCAACAACCTGAAGAATCAACAACGAACTTAATAACTGAGAGCATGACTGCTGAGGTACCCAGTCTACGGGAATTAACAACTACCACACCACAAAAAGAAGCATTCTCTAAGAACATAGTAACTCAGACCAGAACTACTGAAGTGTTAGAACCACTGGACTTAACAACAACCACTCCACAAGCTGAAGTAATCACTATAGACTTAATAAAGGAGACCAGGACTGCTGAGGTACCCAGTCTACTGGAATTAAGAACTACCACAGCAGAACCTGTAGCATTCACTACAAATTTAATAAACGAGACCACGACTGCTAAAGTACACAGTCAACTGGAATTAACAACTACCACACCACAAACTGAACAATACACTACACACTTAAAAACTGAGACCACGACTGATGAGGTACCCAGTCTACTGGGATTAACAACTACAACACCACTACCTGTATTCAATGTAAACTTAATGAATGGGACAAAAACTACTAAGGTACTAGAAACGCTGGAATTAACAACTACCACACCACAACCTGAAGTATTCAGTACATTCATAATAACTGACAAGAAAACTACTGAGGTAACAGAACCACTGGAATTAACAACTACCACACCACAACCTGATGCATTCACTACAAACTTAATATATGAGACCACGACTACTGATGTACACAGTATACTGGAATTAACAAATACCAGGCAACAACCTGAAGAATTTACTACAAAATTAATAACGGAGACCACGACTGCTCAGGTACACAGTCTACTGGAATTAACAACTACCACACCACAACCTGAAGCATTCACTACAAACTTAATATATGAGACCACGACTACTGATGTACACAGTATACTGGAATTAACAAATACCAGGCAACAACCTGAAGAATTTACTACAAAATTAATAACGGAGACCACGACTGCTCAGGTACACAGTCTACTGGAATTAACAACCACAGCACATTTTGAAGAATTCACTAAAAACCAAATAACTCAGACCAAAATTACTGAGGTACCAGAACCAATGGTATTGACAACTAATATACCACAACCTGAAGCATTCAGTACAATACTAAAAATTGAGAACAAAAGTACTGAGGTACCCAGTCTACTGGAATTAAGAACTATCACACCACAACCTGAACCATTCAATATAAACTTAATAAACGAAACCACAACTACTGAGGTACCCAGTCTACTGGAATTAACAACCACTAAACCACAACTTGAATCATTCTCTACAAACCTAATATCGGAGACCAAAACTACCGAAGTACTACAGCCACTGGAATTCACAACTATCACACTACAATCTCAAGCACTCTCTAAAAATTTAATAAATGAGACCACGACTGGTGAGGTAATCAGTCTACTGGAATTAACACCTACAACACCACAACCTGAAGTATTCAGTACATTCATAATAACTGACAAGAAAACTACTGAGGTACTAAAACAACGGGAATTAACAACTACCACACCACAACCTGAAGTATTCAGTACATTCATAATAACTGACAAGAAAACTACTGAGGTACTAAAACAACGGGAATTAACAACTACCACACCACAACCTGAAGTATTCAGTACATTCATAATAACTGACAAGAAAACTACTGAGGTACTAAAACAACGGGAATTAACAACTACCACACCACAACCTGAAGTATTCAGTACATTCATAATAACTGACAAGAAAACTACTGAGGTACTAAAACAACGGGAATTAACAACTACCACACCACAACCTGAAGTATTCAGTACATTCATAATAACTGACAAGAAAACTACTGAGGTACTAAAACAACGGGAATTAACAACTACCACACCACAACCTGAAGTATTCAGTACATTCATAATAACTGACAAGAAAACTACTGAGGTACTAAAACAACGGGAATTAACAACTACCACACCACAACCTGAAGTATTCAGTACATTCATAATAACTGACAAGAAAACTACTGAGGTACTAAAACAACGGGAATTAACAACTACCACACCACAACCTGAAGTATTCAGTACATTCATAATAACTGACAAGAAAACTACTGAGGTACTAAAACAACGGGAATTAACAACTACCACACCACAACCTGAAGTATTCAGTACATTCATAATAACTGACAAGAAAACTACTGAGGTACTAAAACAACGGGAATTAACAACTACCACACCACAACCTGAAGTATTCAGTACATTCATAATAACTGACAAGAAAACTACTGAGGTACTAAAACAACGGGAATTAACAACTACCACACCACAACCTGAAGTATTCAGTACATTCATAATAACTGACAAGAAAACTACTGAGGTACTAAAACAACGGGAATTAACAACTACCACACCACAACCTGAAGTATTCAGTACATTCATAATAACTGACAAGAAAACTACTGAGGTACTAAAACAACGGGAATTAACAACTACCACACCACAACCTGAAGTATTCAGTACATTCATAATAACTGACAAGAAAACTACTGAGGTACTAAAACAACGGGAATTAACAACTACCACACCACAACCTGAAGTATTCAGTACATTCATAATAACTGACAAGAAAACTACTGAGGTACTAAAACAACGGGAATTAACAACTACCACACCACAACCTGAAGAATTCACTAAAAACCAAATAACTCAGACCAAAACTACTGGGGCACCAGAACCAATGGTATTGACTACTAATAGAAGACAACCTGATGCATTCAGTACAATCCTAAAAATTGAGAACAAAACTACTGAGGTACCCAGTCTACTGGAATTAACAACTACAACACCACAACCTGAAGTATTCACTAAAAACCTAATAACTGAGACCAAAACTACTGAGGTACCCAGTCTACTGGAATTAACAACTACAACACCACAACCTGAAGTATTCACTAAAAACCTAATAACTGAGACCAAAACTACTGAGGTACCCAGTCTACTGGAATTAACAACTACAACACCACAACCTGAAGTATTCACTAAAAACCTAATAACTGAGACCAAAACTACTGAGGTACCCAGTCTACTGGAATTAACAACTACAACACCACAACCTGAAGTATTCACTAAAAACCTAATAACTGAGACCAAAACTACTGAGGTACCCAGTCTACTGGAATTAACAACTACAACACCACAACCTGAAGTATTCACTAAAAACCTAATAACTGAGACCAAAACTACTGAGGTACCCAGTCTACTGGAATTAACAACTACAACACCACAACCTGAAGTATTCACTAAAAACCTAATAACTGAGACCAAAACTACTGAGGTACCCAGTCTACTGGAATTAACAACTACAACACCACTAACTGAAGTATTCACTATAAACTTAATAAATAAGACAAAAACTACTGAGTTACTAGAACCACGGGAATTAACAACTACCATACCACAAACGGAAGGATTTAGTACAACACTAATAAATGAGAACAAAACAACTGATTTTCCAAGTCTCCCGGAATTAACAACTACCACACCAAAATATAAAGCATTCACTACAAACTTAATATATGAGACCATGAGTGCTGATGTACCCAGTCTACTGGAATTTACAAATACCAGGCAACAACCTGAAGCACTAACTACAAACCTAATAGCTGAGACTGTCATTGCTGAGGTACCCAGTCTACTGAAATTAACAACTACCACGCAACAACCTGAAGAATCAACAACGAACTTAATAACTGAGAGCATGACTGCTGAGGTACCCAGTCTACGGGAATTAACAACTACCACACCACAAAGAGAAGCATTCTCTAAGAATGTAGTAACTCAAACCAGAACTACTGAAGTGTTAGAACCACTGGACTTAACAACAACCACTCCACAACCTGAAGTAATCACTATAGACTTAATAAAGGAGACCACGACTGCTGAGGTACCCAGTCTACTGGAATTAAGAACTACCACAGCAGAACCTGTAGCATTCACTACAAATTTAATAAACGAGACCACGACTGCTAAAGTACACACTCTACTGGGATTAACAACTACAACACCACTACCTGTATTCAATGTAAACTTAATGAATGGGACAAAAACTACTAAGGTACTAGAAACGCTGGAATTAACAACTACCATACCACAAACAGAAGTATTCAGTACAAGACTAATAAATGAGAACAAAACGACTGATATTCCAAGTCTCCTGGAATTAACAGCAACCACACCACAACCTGATGCATTCACTACAAACTTAATATATGAGACCACGACTACTGATGTACCCAGTATACTGGAATTAACAAATACCAGGCAACAACCTGAAGAATTCACTACAAAATTAATAACGGAGACCACGACTGCTCATGTACCCAGTCTACTGTTATTAACAACTACCACACCACAACCTGAAGTATTCGTTACATTCACAATAACTGACAAGAAAACTACTGAGGTAACAGAACCACTGGAATTAACAAGTACCACACAACAACCTGAAGCATTAACTACAAACCTAACAACTGAGACCGTCATTTCTGAGGTTCCCAGTCTACTGGAATTAAAAACCACAGCACATTTTGAAGAATTCACTAAAAACCAAATAACTCAGACCAAAACTACTGAGGTACCAGAACCAATGGTATTGACAACTAATAGACAACAACCTGAAGCATTCAGTACAATCCTAATAATTGAGAACAAGACAACTCAGGTACCCAGTCTACTGGAATTAAGAACTATCACACCACAACCCGAATCATTCACTATAAACTTAATAAACGAGAACACAACTACTGAGGTACCCAATCTACTGGAATTAACAACTACTAAACCACAACTTGAATCATTCTCTACAAACCTAATATCTGAGACCAAAACTACCGAAGTACTACAAACACTGGAATTCACAACTAACACACCACAATCTGAAGCAATCTCTACAAAATTAATAAATGAGACCACGACTGGTGATGTAATCAGTCTACTGGAATTAACAACTACAACACCACAACCTGAAGTATTCACTACAAACCTAATAACGGAGACCAAAACTACTGAGGTACTACAACCACTGGAATTAACATCAACCACACCACAACCTGAAGAATACACTACACACTTAAAAACTGAGACCACAACTGCTGGGGTACCCAGTACACTGGAATTAACAACTACAACACCACTACCTGAAGTATTCACTATAAACTTAATAAATGAGTCAAAAATTACTGAGGTACTAGAACCACGGGAATTAACAGCTACTATACCACAAACTGAAGCATTCAGTACAAGACTGATAAATGAGAACAATACAACTGATGTTCCAAGTCTTCTGGAATTAACAATTACCACACCACAACCTGAAGCATTCACCACAAACTTAATATCTGAGACCACAACTGATGATGTACCCAGTCTACAGGAATTAACAAATACCAGGCAACAACCTGAAGAATTCACTACAAACTTAATAACCGAAACCATGACTGCTGAGGTACCCAGTCTACTGGAATTAACAAACACCACGCAAAAACCTCAAGAATTCACTACAAACTTAATAACTGAGACCACGACTGCTGAGGTACCCAGTATGCTGGAATTATCAACTAGCAAACCACAATCCAAAGCATTCACTACAAAATTTATAAAAGAGACCATGACTGGTGAGGTACAAAGTCTACTGGAATTAACAACTACCACACCACAACCTGAAGCATTCACTACAAACTTAAAAAATGAAACCATGACTGCTGAGGTACCCAGTCTCCTGGAATTAATATCTACCACACCACAACATGAAGTACCCAATTTACTGGAATTAAAAACTAGAAAATCAGAATCGGATGTCTCCACTAGAGGTGACATAACTGAAACAACAATGGCTGAGGTACCCAGTTTATTGGAATTAATACCAACTGCATCAAAACATGAAATATTTATCACAAACATATTAAATAAGGTTACAACTTCTGAGGAACCCAGTGAACTGGAGTTAACATCTAGCACACGACAACCTGGAGCATTCACTACAAACCTAATAAATGAGACTACGAATGCTGAAGAACCCAGTCCACTGGAAATAGCATCTATCACACAACAACATGAAGAATTCACTACAAACTTAATAACTAAGATGACAAATAAAGAGGTACCCAGTCTACTGGAATTAACATCAATCACACCGCATTCTGAAGCATTCACTAAAATTCTAATAAATGAGACCACAACTGCTGAGTTACCTAGTCCACTGGAATTAACATTTACCACACCACAACATCAAGATTTAACTACAAGCCTAATAAATCAGACCATGACTACTGAGGTACCCAGTCTACTGGGAATACCACCTACCATACCACAACCTGCGGCATTCACTACAAATCTAATACATGAGTTCAAGACTGCTGAGATACCTAGTGTACAGGATTTAACATCTACCATACCACAATCTAAGGCAATTACTAGAAACCCAATTAATGAAACCACGACTGCTGAAGTATCCATACTACTAGAATTAACATCTACAATATCTCAACCCAAAGTTTCTCCCACAGGTGACACATCAGACACAATGGCAGCTGAAGAACACCGTCTACCTGAATTTACATCTACCACACAAAAATCTGAAGAATTTTCTACAAGCCTAATAACACAGACCACAACTGCTGAGATACCCAATCTACTCGCATTAATATCTACCACAGCACAACCTGAAACATTCAACAGAAACGTAGCAGCAGATAACACAACTCCTGGAATACCCAGACTACTGGAATTAACATCTTCCACAACACAACCTGAAGAATTCGTCACAAATCTTATAACTGAGACGACAGGTGAGGTACACATTCTACCGAACATAACATCGACCATGCCCGCAGAATTCACCACAACCATACAAAATAAGATCATATCAGCTGAGGTACCTAGTCTACTCGAATTATCATCTACAAAACCACAACCGCAAGAACTGACTACAACCATAATAATTGAGAACATGACTGCTGCAATATCCAGTCTTCTGGAATTTTCATCTACCACACCACAACATCAAGCATTTACTACAGAACTAATAACTGAAACCAAAACTACTGAGGTACCCAGACTACTGGAATTAAGATCTACCACAACACAACCTGAAGCCTTCACCACAAACTTAATAAATGCGAACACAACTGCTGAGGTACCCAGTCCACTGGAATTAACGTCTACCACACCACAACATGAAGATTTAGCTACAAGCCTAATAAGGCAGACAACAATTACTGAGGTACCCAGTATACTGGAATTAACATCTACCACATCACAACCTGGAGCATTCACTACAAACCTAATAAATGTGACCACGATTGCTCAAGAACCCAGTCTACTGGAAATAACATCTGTCACACCACAACATGAAGAATTAACTACAAACTTTATAACTGAGATGACAAATGAAGAGATACCCAGTCTCCTGGAATTAACATCAATCACACCACAACATGAAGATTTAGCTACAAGCCTAACAAATCAGACAATGACTACTGAGTTACCCAGTCTACTGGAATTAACAAATACCGCACCACCATCTGAAGCATTGACCACAAACCTAAATACTGAGACCACGACTGCCGAGGAACCCAGTCTACTTGATTTAACATCTACAACACAAAAACCTGATGAATTCACTATAAGACTAATACATGAGACCACAGGTGCTACAATACCCAGTCTACTGGAAATAACAATTACCACACCACAACCTGAAGTATTCAGATACCCAACAATTGAGACCACGACACCTGTTGTGCCCACTCTACTGAAATTAACAACTACCATACCAACATCTGAAATATTCACTGCAAACCTATTAACTGAGTCCACGACTGCTGAGATACCCAGCCTAGTAGATTTAATATCTACCACACAACCTGAGGAATTCTCTATATATGGTAGAACTGAGTCTAGAAAGGATGATATACACAGTCTACTGGAATCAACATCTACCACAACACAACCTGAAGCAATCACTACAAACCTAGTAACTGAGACCAAAACTACTGAGGTACTAGAACCACTGGAATTAACATCAACCACACCACAAACTGAACCATTCTCTACAATCTTAATAAATGAGACCACAACTGGTGAGGTACCCAGTCTACTGGAATTAAAAACTACCACATTACAACCTGAAGCATTCACTGCACACATAATAACTGAGACTACGACTGGTGAGGTACCCACTCTACTGGAATTAAAAAATACCACACCAATTTTTGAAGAATTCACTACAAACCTAATAACTCTGACCAAAACTACTGAGGTACCAGAATCATCAGAATTAACAACTACCACACTACAACCTCAAGAATTGACTACAAACATAATAACTGAGACAAGAATTACTGAGGTACCCAGTCTACTTGAATTAATATCTACCACACCACAACTTGAAACACCTAATTTACTGGAATTAATATCTACAAAATCAGAATCAGACATTTCCACTAGAGGTGACATAACTGAAGCAACAACGGCTGAGGTACCCAGTTTATTGGAATTAACACAAATCGCATCAAAACATGAAATATTTATCACAAAAATTTTAAATGAGAATACAACTCGTGAGGTGCCCAGTCAGCTGAAGTTAACATCTACCACACCACAACCTGAAGCATTCACTACAAACCTAATAAATGAGACTACGACTGCTGAAGAAAACAGTCCACTGGAAATAACATCTATCACACCACGACATGAAGAATTCATTACAAACTTAATAACTGAGATGACAAATACTGAGGTACCCAGTCTACTGGAATTAACATCTATCACATCACAACCTGAAGCATTCACTACAAACCTAATAAATGAGACTACGACTGCTGAAGAAAACAGTCCACTGGAAATAACATCTATCACACCACGACATGAAGAATTCATTACAAACTTAATAACTGAGATGACAAATACTGAGGTACCCAGTCTACTGGAATTAACATCTATCACATCACAACCTGAAGCATTCACTAAAAGCCTAATAAATGAGATCACGACTGCTGAGTTGCCTAGTCCACTGGAAATAACATCTACCACACCACAACATGAAAATTTAACTACAAGCCTAATAAATCAGACCATGACTACTGAGGAACCTAGTTCACTGGAATTAACAACTACCACACCACAATCTGCGGCATTCACTTCAAATCAGATAAATGAGACCACGACTGCTGAGATACCCACTGTACAGGAATTAACGTCTACCATACCACAATCTGAGGCATTTACTAGAAACCTAATTAATGAAACCACGACTGCTGAAGTACCCATACTACTAGAATTAACATCTACAATATCTCAACCCAAAGTTTCCCCCACAGGTGTCACATCAAAAACAATGGCAGCTGAAGAACACGGTCTACCTGAATTTACATCTACCACACAAAAATTTGAAGAATTTTCTACAAGCCTAATAAATCAGATCACAACTGCTGAGATACCCAGTCTACTTGCATTAATATCTACCACAACACAACCTAAACCATTCAACACAAACGTAGCAGCAGATAATACAACTCCTGGAATACACAGACTACTAGAATTAACATCTGCCACACCACTACCTGAAGAATTCGTCACAAATCTTATAACCGAGATGACAGGTGAGATACCCATTCTACTGAAAATAACATCTACGACTCCAGAACCCACAGAATTCACCACAAGCATAACAAATGAGATCATGTCTACTGAGGTATCTAGTCTACTGGAATTAACATCTACAAGACCACAACCGCAAGATCTTACTACAAACCTTATAACTGAGACCACAACTGCTGGGATATCCAGTCTTCTGGAATTATCATCTATCACACCACAACATCAAGCATTCACTACAAATTTAATAACTGAAACCAAAACTACTGAGATACCCAGTCTACTGGAATTAACATCTACCACACCACATCCTGAGGCATTCACTACAAACCTAATAAATGAGACAACCACTGCTGAGGTACCTAGTCCACTGGAATTAACATGTACCACACCACAAAATGAAGATTTAGCTACAAGCCTAATAAATCAGACAATGACTACTGAGGTACCCAGTCTACCGGAATTAACAACTACCACACCACCATCTGAAGCATTTACCATAAACCTAAATAATGAGACCACAACTGCTGAGGAACCCAGTCTACTTGACTTAACAGCTACCACACTAAAACCTGATGAATTCACTATAAGCCTAATACTTGAGACCACGGCTGCTGCGATACCCAGTCTATTGGAAACAACATCTACCACACCACAACCTGAAGCATTCACTACAAACTTAATGACTGAGAACATGACTCCTGAGGTACCCAGTATACTGGAATTAACATCTACCAAAACACAACCTGAAGCAATCACTACAAAACCAGTAAAAGAAAGCACGACTGCTGAAGAACCCAGACTACTGGAAATAACATCTATCACACCACAACATGAAGAATTCACCACAAACTTAATAACTGTGATGACAAATCCTGAGGTACCCAGTTTATTGGAATTAACATATACCACAACAGAACATGAAGCATTCACTGCAAACCTAATGACTGAGAACATGACTGCTGAGGTACCCAGTCTACTGGAGTTAACATCTACCACACCACAACCTGAAGTATTCACTACAAATCCAATAAATGAGAACATGACTGCCCAGTTATCCACTCTACTGGAAATAACATCTATTACACCACAACATGAAGAATTCACTACAAACTTTATTACTGAGATGACAAACACTGAGGTACCCAGTCTGTTGGAATTAACATCTAACACAACACAACCTGAACCATTCCCCACAAAGTTAATGACTGAGACTATGACCACTGTAGTACCCAGTCTACTTGATCTGCAATCTACCACACCACAACCTGAAGTATTCACCCCAGGGGATATAAATGAGACCACTATTCCTGATGTGCTGAATCTACTGGAATTATCAGACACCACATCATATCCTGAAACATTCACCACAACACTCTCATATGTGAACTCAACATCGAACGTACCGGGACTACTGAAACTGTCGACAACCGCACCACATTCCAAAGACTTTATAAGAAAGGTCATAAATGAGACCGAAAGTGCTGAATTACCGAGCAGCCTGGAATTAACAACAGTGAGATGGGATTCTGTACCATTTAATACAACACAAATAATTGAATCTACAACTGTTGTATCATCCAGTCTTCCAGAATTTATACACATCACATCACAAACTCATTCCCTCACTTGTGGAGACCTAATTTTATCCACAGATACTGGAACATCACCTGGAATAGGATCCACTTCCGTACAACACCCTGAACCGAATTCCACAGCAGTAATATTGGACGCCACAACAAGTGAACTGAGTGTGACAAATTCCTCGCCGCTCTATGATCTTGCTTACAAGATGGGCCTAAGTGAAGTCAAATCTGTGGAGTCATCTAGTAGATTGGATATGGGAAGTTCTGCACAGCAATCTGATCCGTTTCTCTCAGTAGGCGTTCTTCGGAATTCATCTGGTAATTCGTCCATTGGACTGGAATTAGCACAGTTCACAGCACAATCAGTAGTCTCTCCCTCAAGTGTTGGCACAACTGGAAGTACTTCACCTGGAATCGAAGTAACAACTGCCACTCCACCGACAGGATTCTTTTCCCCAAATGTTGGCACAACTGTGAGTAATTCAAGTGGAATGAGAGTAACAAATGCCACTCCACAAACAGGATTCTTTTCCCCAAATGTTGGCACAACTGTCAGTAATTCAGGTGGAATTGGAGTAACAAATGCCACACCACAAACAGGATTCTTTCCCCCAGATGATGGCACAACTGTCAGTAATTCAGGTGGAATTGGAGTAACAAATGTCACTCCACAAACAAGATTTTTTTCCCCAAATGTTGACACAACTGTCAGTAATTCAGGTGGGATTGGAGTAACAAATGCCACTCCACAAACAGGATTCTTTTCCCCAAATGTTGGCACAACTGTCAGTAATTCAGGTGGAATTGGAGTAACAAATTCCCCTCCACAAACAGGATTCTTTTCCCCAAATGTTGACACAACTGTCAGTAATTCAACTGGAATAGGAGTAACAATTGCCACTCCACCAACACGATTCTTTTCCCCAAATGTTGGCACAACTGTGAGTACTTCAAGTGGAATGGGAGTAACAAATGCCACTCCACAAACAGGATTCTTTTCCCCAAATGTTGGCAAAACTGTCAGTAATTCAAATGGAATGGGAGTAACAAATGCCACACCACAAACAGGATTCTTTCCCCCAGATGATGGCACAACTGTCAGTAATTCAGGTGGAATTGGAGTAACAAATGTCACTCCACAAACAAGATTTTTTTCCCCAAATGTTGACACAACTGTCAGTAATTCAGGTGGGATTGGAGTAACAAATGCCACTCCACAAACAGGATTCTTTTCCCCAAATGTTGGCACAACTGTCAGTAATTCAGGTGGGATTGGAGTAACAAATGCCCCTCCACAAACAGGATTCTTTTCCCCAAATGTTGACACAACTGTCAGTAATTCAACTGGAATGGGAGTAACAATTGCCACTCCACCGACAGGATTCTTTTCCCCACACAACTGTCAGTACTTCAAGTGGAATGGGAGTAACAAATGCCACTCCACAAACAGGATTCTTTTCCCCAAATGTTGGCACAACTGTCAGTACTTCAACTGGAATGGGAGTAACAAATGCCACTCCACAAACAGGATTCTTTTCCCCAAATGTTGGCACAACTGTCAGTAATTCAGGTGGGTTTGGAGTAACAAATGCCACACCACAAACAGGATTCTTTTCCCCAGATGATGGCACAACTGTCAGTAATTCAAGTGGAATGGGAGTAACAAGTAACACATCGCAATCAGGATTCTTTCCTGCCCTGTACAACAAGACGAAACAGGTTCTTACATCAAGTATTGACTTCGTGACCAAAGCGCCGAAACCCCCAACCAATATAACTTCAGCTGGCGTGCCCAATTACACTTCCAGACCTGAGTCACCGGTCCTCCCTCCGCTTCCATTTAAATGGAAAGCCAACAAACGGACTCAAGTGTTTCGATGCCGGCGTCCTGGACGCTTTCCATCACAGTCCAGTTGTACCAAGTACCATGTTTGCCGTCGGGGCCGGGGTCGACTCTTTCACACCGAGGAGAGATGTCCTCCTGGTCACGGATTCAGTTCCCGTCTTAGGTTCTGTGTCCCCAGTCGTCTTTTATCCGAGTGCAAAGCGGATCGGAACTCTGATGACCGGATTTCAAGTAAGATTGGAGAAGATACAATGAGGAGATGGTTACATAAGAGGAGAAGGAAACAGGGAACAAGGGGAGGGTGAATGAAAATACATTGACATGTCACGTGTCCTAGGATCCGTGACTAATAATAACGGGTTCTGGATTGGATGATTAGATTTATTAACATCTTACATAATCTACTCGTACTTAAAAGCGATACAGCGCTACCGCTGCTTTACGCAATTTACAGTTCACCTTTACATACGCACTAGGATTATCCGTCCTCACGGGTCGTATTCTCGCAACGGGATTAAAGCAGTCTCACTGTTATTAAATCTTCTAATCCTCAGAGGCTGACTTGTAATTCTTCAAATACTAATTTCCCATGGTTATCTTCTACCGACAACTCTCATTCTCGCATTCCGACTGCTCACTTGAATTCCGTGTTATATACCTTCGGGTCGGACCTCACGGAAAACATGTGTCATGTGTCACTGGCCCATTACCCAGCATTGGGCAAGGCGCAGACCACATATAAAACATCTTTCATTATTGTCGCGTAATGTTGTACGTATTACCAAGCAACGGGCTTTTTACCAAGAATCTGTCTCCGTGGGATCGTTGCTTAGCAGTGGATCGATACGCCATAGAAGGATAAAATGAGATGTGCCTAAATAATGGTGGAAGAAAATACGTGGAATTTATTTTTATGTTTAGTTTTGTATCATAAAAATTCTTATATGAAATAAAGAAAACTAAGAAAAACGTGACACAAATTCAGTCCTTATCCTTCCATAAAATTTCCTGTCTCCGTCACGAACATCAGTCACTTAAGGAAGCTTACAGTCTTCTGAGATGTGATACCGACTCTGTTTTACAAAGGTATCATGGTTTCGGCAGAACCTGACACCACCCTCTCCCTGAACATGGAAACTACAAGTTCCTTCGCAGAGTTGGGATATTTGTACAACGTTACACGGCGTCACACCCCAGAAGACAGCAATCTTCACATCAATCTCAGTGGAAACCTCGAAGTCCTAGAGCTCTTTCGGGTAGTAATATCTGCCGTGAGAATCATAAAAGGCAAAGTTGTTCCTGTGCTTAAATAAATAACAGCTATGGAATGAGAGCGTATGGAGGAGTGGAGGTATAGGTCCAGCGTTCTCGACCTCGACACTAGATGGAGGTGCGTACTCAGAGTCTCGTTCCGGCCGCTTTACCCAAGGGGCAATCAATACCTACTGTATAGGAGGCAGGTTGAGACCCAGACCCGTTCTGGACGCTATGGAGGACAGAAATACGGAGAATCGAACCCGTAATTCTGAATATAAACGAATATAAACAGTGGGAGCATTTTAATATTATCCACTTACCCATGCCTTTCGGGCACGCGGGAGCGTAGTTGGTTGAGGCACTATGCTACAAGCCGGAAGGTAGCAGGTTCAAGTCCCGATGCAATTGGATTTTTTCAATTGATCTAATCCTCCCAGCCGCACTATGGCCCTGGGATCGACTCAGTCTCTAACAGAAATGAGTACCAAGAATATTCTTGGGTGTAAAGGGCGGCCGGCGCGTAGGGCTGACAACCTTACCGCCATCTATGAGATGATTGTCTAGAAAATGTGGGAACCTCAACGTCTCACAACCCTATGGGCCTCCACGGCCTGTTACAGTGATATCTTTACTTTTTAGTTACTTTGCCTATGCCTTTGTGTTCCTAATGATCTCTTTCCTTCTGGCTTTACACCAATATCCTATACGCATTCCTCTTTTCCAAATTCTTGCTACATGACGTTCCCATCTCATCCTCCTTTACTTGGTTATTCTAATTATACTTGGAGCAGAGTACAAGTTATGAAGCTCCTCATTATGCAGTTTTCTCCAACCTCCTGTCACTTAACACCCTGTTCTCAAACACTCTCAGTCTTATATTCCTCCATTTATATCAGAGACCAAGTTTCACACTCATATAGAACGACGGGCGTAACAGTAGTTTTATATATTTAAATTTTTATGTTTTTAGACAAGAGACGAGAAGACAAGAGTTTCTGGATTGAATGGTAGCAAGCATTACCCGAATTCGGTCTCCTCTTAGCACAGAAGAAAAGAAAAGCAATTGTAACATACATTTCCAGCTCGCGACAACATTGCTAGCGCGTTTCCTTACTCGTAAAATGTCGCTACATTTCGTCAGAAAACTGAACAAATGACTTCCACTTAAATATAACCATGGATTTAGTTAAATAAATTATGTAAATGGGAGAACATAAAATTTACTGAAGAAAGACTCTCTTTCACATTAGAAATGAAGATTAAGAAAACTCAACAGATAATTAACCTCCTTAGAGTTAATTACGTGTATCCTCGATGACACGCTTGTTTAGAACTGAACTGGGCCCATAAAGGTAAAATTTGTCCCTGCGCCATGAAGGCGTGTGGGGGAGTGGATATCTAGAACCACATTTTCATAACCTCCGCACTAGCTGAAGGTGAGTGGTCAGATTCACGCTCTGGCCGCTTTACCCCCGGGGAAAGGGCCCCCGGTACTCATTGGACAGGAGTTTGGGTGGACCCCAGAGCCGGTGTGGAGGACATGGAGACGAGAAAATTCTTGACCCTACCGGGACTCGAACTCCGACCCCTCGCTCGTCTAGCCCGCTGCCAATCGCTATACCGACTGAGCTACTCGTACCGGCCATATAGCCTCGCCACAGTATACCAGCTGGCAGTCAGAAGGTCTGTATTTTTTACAGACAAACCATATGTCTGCTTGGCAGATATCTTTCGAAATTTCTGGAAATATCTGGGTCACGTATTCAGGGTCTTGCTATTCTGGCTGAGCCTTTCGAGAAAATGAACTGAATTATGAAGCACAAACGGGAGTTTATTGTCACGTGAATGTGACTACGGACGGGGTTTGAATTGGCAATCGGATTTCCTGGATATTTACAGGACGTAACTACAAATAACTACGACAGTCTCACTGAGTTACACATATATAGTGTTCTCAGTCTTCACTAGAGGTTGCTTGGTAGCGGCTTCCAACGGCGGACGTTCCACTTCTTCTGGATTTCCGAACTGTCCCCGCCCTCAGCTACCAGCTTCTCACAATAACATCTGTATAAACAGACAGTACAACAGTCGTTGCTATGGAGCAGCACTGTGGAAGTTTTCCCCGCAACGAGAGAACGCGTTTTCTGTGCGGCCCGTGTCAGGGCTATATAACGAGGACCAGTAGTTCAATTGTGATTGAGCAGAAGTCATACAAAACAATAATAACGAAAATGTTCGCAATATTGGACAAGAAGAAGCCCGACACAGATAAGAGGCTTAAACTTGGCGGCGGTAAAGCATACGACCGTTCAAGTGACTAGAATGCCGCTGTAGCGGAAGCTACTAGAACTAGGCCATAATCTGGTTACTGAGCATGGACTGACAGAGGCCCTGTATATATTTTATGTACATTTATTAACTTGTTTAACATCGTAGTACGCGGGTTCAAATACCCGGCGGAGGTCGTCGAATTTTTAAGGGCGAAAAAATTCAGGGAACAATTCCTCCGGGAGGGACTTTAAGCCGTGGGTCCCGTGTCGTAGCTTTACGGCACGTAAAAGAACCTCATATCTCCAAAGGAGGTCACTGAGCAAAATTGCGGACGTTTGCCGCCCAATAGCAGTCACTAATACCTCCGGTAGATGGGGGAAGCAGTATAGATACTTCTCAGCCAGTAGAGCCGGTCTCGCTGGCTGGGCGGGACTGATGGTACGCACCAATACCGGTAGGATATAGAGGCTGGTAGAAATCATAGAGGGAAGCACAATGGACCACTACAGGTCTAAGTGCATGGGGAAACCCACCCTCTCTAATAACTAACTAACTAACTAACTAACTAACTAACTAACTAACTTGTTTAACATGTGAAATGTAAATATCTTTTACATTATGACAAATTACCTACTACTGCAGACAATGACTCCAACAAAAGACAGACCTGTCCTCTCGTCAGAGAGGGCGCCACACAAAATAAGACCGAAACTGTCAAACACTAATAAATATCCGGTCATAAGCCTCAGGTTGAGCTCGACACCAAGACTGACTGATAGTCAGTCGCAATGTGACTTCGAGTTGTGATTGAACCCTCCTTTCATTCGTATTACTTTCCGACCCCTTCTGTTTGTCTGCCCTACAGTCAGTTCCTGCCTCTACCGCCCAGTCTATAGCATGGAGTGGTACAATGATTACTGAATTGTAAAGAAAGTTGAAAGAAGTGGTCGTGGCCAAATTTATGGCACTATCCTGAGATCTCCATGGAAACGCGACAATTAAGACGGAAATCTCTTAGAGTTGAACCCGGGATCTATTGAATATCATGCAGGAGTGTCGCCCATTCAACCGCCATGTTTGATAAAGATTTGTATCACTTAGCGCAAAATAATTTGTATAATCTCCAAGTCAGGTCTATTTAACCGCCAGCACCTGACATGCCAATGCTAGTGTAGCAGTCACGTGAGTGACTGAGCTCAGTACGGCCTGCTTGACTCACTAATTCATACTGTTTCACGAAAATATGAGTAACAACCGGCAGTTCTAGTTGCAACACCTGACGCAGAGGGGCGGTGGGAATGCGATGATAAGCACTGCACTATAGGTCACACAAACTTCGTGTTCCTGCGCGTGCGCAATCGGTCATTATGAAGTAAGAACTACAACAGAAGTCAGAAATTACAGTGTTAAAAGAAGTTCTTGGAAGAAAAAATCGCCTATTTCCCTCTTATAGAGCACGGACCGCATACTAAACCAAGCGCCCAACAATTATTGTATTGTTACGTTGCCGCGGTAACGTGTCTAGCAACGATATGGGACATACATTCAGACACACAGACTGATGGGAGGGATTAATGGAGTACGCCGTTGAGATGGGCAGAGGTGCCATGATACACATGCCAAGTTTCATAAAGACTGGTTTAGGCATTCAAAAGTTGTTACAGGACATACAAACACACAAACAGCACGGTGACTGCATAAAGCTACTTTTATTTTTTCAGAATAAGGAAAGTAAACCAAAAGCAGGTGGTAAATATAATAACCATTACATTTTAAAATGTTAAAATAACATATATAATACTCGCTATGGTCTTCTGGTTTATGACACCGTGTAGTCTGGTAGGTGGTTACTATCTACTGTTGCCCACCCATAAGTTTCGGATATTCTGAGCTTCATGCTACAAACCATGACATTTTGAGACAGAGGGTCTTCGGTAGAACGGTGAGTGCTGTCATCTGTTATATGGCGCCGTACAGTCTGGTAGGAGTTTATTGACTTGTTGAGGTACGTTGGTACACTTGTACCCGCTATAGAGTGTGACTTCCCTGTAGACGTCATAGTAAACCCTCGTCATAACAGACCAAGATATAGTGGATTTCGCATATAACGAACAAAATCTGTTGATATATTGGGTTTCTGGACTTTATCCATCGTCCTGGTTTTTAAGATAACTAATAAAAACACGACGTTTCGGGAACTGGATCTGTTTCCGTCCTCAGGTGAAGGAAAACACCTATTCTGTTGGGTCCGTTAGAAAGAGCTAGCCTCAATCACTGGACCAGGTGTTTTCCTTCACCTGAGGACGGAAACAGATCCAGTTTCCGAAACGTCGTGTTTTTATTAGTTATCTTAAAAACCAGGACGATTGATGAAGTCCAAAAACCCAATATATCAGTGTGTTATACACCATCGTCAGAATCCTATAGTAACTACTTGAACAAAATCTGGCTGTATGTACAGTTGTGAAACAAGGTTTTGTAGTTAGAAAGCTACCAGTATTTAAAATAAAATAATAGTAACCCCAATATAAAAACCTTTGTATAGACACACTGGGTGTATCTGCGTTTGTCGCGTGTATTTTATGGAGCGCAGACTGGCTACAAGCTGGACGACCGAGGGGTCAGAGTTCAAGTCCCGGCAAGGTCAAGAATTTTCTCTTCTCCACGTCCTCCAGACCGGCTATGGGGTCCACCCAACCTCCCATCCAATGGGTACCCGGGACTTTTTCCCCAGGGGTAAAGCGGACGGGACATGAAGCTGACCATTTACCTCTAGCTAGTGCCGAGGTCAAGAAAATATGAATCTATACACCCACTCCCCCATACGTCTTCATGACGTAGTGCTTAATTAGTTAAGGACAGGGACAGCTTCAGCCTACGTCCGTGAATACCCTTTCACTCGGTTATAGCAGGCATTGGCGATAACAGACAGCCTGCTCTCCTCTCTAGTCCTTTACGATGGTTTACTCTATTTTTTAGTTCAGGATCTGTATGCACAGTGGAGGAACAGCTCCATATATTCGTACCCTCGACACTGCATTGAGACAAAGGGAGCTGTACCCAGCGTAGCAGGTGTCATTATCGACTGAGAAGGAGGACCCACACACAAATGTGTTTCAAATTGATGTGCATAACACGCACGACAATACACAAATTCCAAGACATGCTCTCTCTGGCGTCAGTGAGAGAGCTACCGTCCATTGATGTTTGTGACGACCTATGGACAATCTTCATTTGCCCCACCCTACCCTATACCCCACTCCACCTACTGTCACGAACACACCAGCGAAGACATCGCTCGTATCGCACTGTTAGAGGTGAGCTGAGTGGCCGTACAAGACAGGACCACGGTTTGAACCCGGTAACAAAGTCAAGTGCTCTGCAGATGGGCGGCATAAGATGCAGGAACAGAAGTGTGGTGCACTGTGGCCTCATAGTGACAATATTTCTCATCCAAATTGTGGGGAAAACGTCCCCTAAGGCACAGTACCCTGTCCCCGGGGGGCAGATTCCTGCTTACGACGGCCAGTACCCGAATCCAGGGGTAGACACGGCACAGGGCGGATATCCGGGTGAGAGGAGTGACGGGAGCCGGCGGCAGGAGGGCCCCGTGTCGCGGATATCCGGACAGGACCTGCGGTCCCTGCTGCAGAGGGTGGACGTGATGTTGTCCAACCAATGCACGAAGAACGTGGCGGCACAATGGCAGTTCGAGACGGACGTGAACCCGGGCACCCAGCAAGCAGCTGTGAGTTTCTGTCTCTCTTCACTTATGTATGTAGTGATTTTCTAGTTGTTCGCTTTGATACATCCACTCCAGCATTTCGTTACCTAATTGATCATTTATTTATTCATTCGCCTCCTTATTTCTGCTTCTATTACTCGGTTTATTTGTTTATTCACTTGTTTATTATTTATTTATTCCTCTATTCTACATTTATTCTTTATCGAACGGGGCGAAGAGGAATGCATGTAGGATACCGGTGGAAAACCCAGAAGGAAATAGACCACCAGGAAGACCAAAATATTTTAAGGTTTTAAAAAGCAAGTCGCATGTAAGACGGCTAATGACCAACAAAGAATAAGCAAATGCTGATATATATTTCACAATTCTGGTATTTAACAATTTCATTTTTAAAGTTCCCCTGTCTGCGCACGCACACATGTTCGTCCGTCAGTATCACAGGCATACACTGTTCTGTTTGCTTCCGAACCCAGTCCGATTCTGAAACGATTTTCATTCGTTTAAGCTTTGCTGCAGAGTTGCTTTCTTACCACGCGAGTCCAGATCGTCAGAACGACTTCCTATCGTCACACAGAAACACACAACAGGCCAACAAAGGTTTCTAACCTCAATCTCGAAATGTTCACAATGACTGACAAGTTACATAGCGTAACAATTCTGTTATCACCTCTACATTTACGGTATTATCGCTTCCTTCCACATCCCTAACAATTCACTAATCCTACTATTGCATATTATACAATCTGAGTTACTGAAAAGTGTCGTTAAATAAACTATGAATAAACAAAAATAAAAAACTTTTCCCCGACATGCCGCTACGGCACATTGTGAATGTTCCCTCGCCCAAGCCACGATAGCTCAGTCGGTATTGTGACTGGCTACGACTTGGACGGCCGGGGGGGGGGTGGAGTTCGAGTCCCCGTAGGGACACGATTTTTCTGCTCTCCATGGAGACCATACCGGTTCTGTGACCAACCCAGTCTCCTATCCAACTGCTACCAGGGGAGGGGGCAAAGAGATTGGGCCGTGAAGATGGCCACTCACCTCAAACTAGTACCCAGGTCACGAATAAATGGATCTCTACGTCTATTCCCCCATACGTCTTCATGGCGTATTGCTTATTCAGTTAAGCACATGGAAAACTTTACCTTTTTTACGTTTACCCTCACCCAAGTCACTGACGTTACGTACGACCAAAATGAACGGTATTTTTGCTATCGGTTGGCAGACGGACAACAAGCCGCGGGATGGGACTTGCAGAGGGCCTCTGCCTGCCAGGCGCTGTCGTAGAGACCGCATTTTTTTTATTGCTAGTGGGGTGGGACTAAGTCCCTTGTACTGCGGCCACTTCTGGCCTATTGTACCATCCCCAGATGTTAGGTGAGGGTGATTGTGGAGCAATTGGTGGAATGAAGATTGGCAGGGGAAAACGAAGTACTGGGAGTAAAACTGCCCCAGCGCCACTTTGTCCACCACAAATCCCACATGACCAGACCCGGGATCGAACCCGGGCCGCCGCGGTGGAAAGCCAGCGACTGTCCGCTTGAGCTATGGCGCGCCCCAGAGACCGCAGTTGGGAGATAAGACACCGATTTACACGTTATTGTTGTTATGAACAAGTTGTGGCCACGTGAGGCAGGGAACTTTCACTTCCGGTACTACCTACACAAGAATAAAACAGCAGAGGTGGTATGTGTAAATATTACGTACATGGGTGTCAAACTTACTACCTAACTTCCTCTTAGATTCAGGGTGCTTGGAAACAGGGTCCTGAGTGCAATATTTGGACCCAAATGGGAGGAAGGGACAGGAGGCGAACTTTAGGCTCTCACAGCGGTCACTATGAAGAGTATTACGTTCTGGAATGTGACATCGTTTAGTTTGGTACAAGTTGCTCAGGATCGAAGAGCACATCAAATAAGTAATCACAAAGAATCGGGCAGGAACCAAAACAATTCGCTCTTCGCCATCTTCTTGCTGGTACTTTTGACGTTTGTTCTTCGACACCTCAGACGGAGGCAGTTCCTCTGAAACGTCGGTGAATTTCTACAGGACTACACGGCATCACATCTCAGAAGAGATTAATCTTCGAAGTAGGCGGAGAACGAGGATAATTACACGGCGAGGGAGATTCATAATTCGTACTCTTATTCAGATATTTTTAGGACGATGACATGATGAGATAGGCGGGACATGTAGCATGCATTATGGAGATGGGAAATAAATACAGAATTTTAGTCGACAAATGTGCAAGAATGACAGAACTCTGAATCACCTGGGCGTATGTCTTACAAACGTAAAGCAGAAGTGTGTGGACTGCATACTGTCGTTAGGGATGAGCTCTTGTGAACACGGTAATAAACCTTCGGGTTACATAAAATTTGGGGAATTTCCTGAGTGGCCGAGCGATTAGCTTCCCAAGAAGGAGAACGCTCCATTTGCTGCTTCCTTCAGCCTACACCGTAACAATTACAATTATTATTAACAAGCGAACAGACACTGAATTTTAATTGTCTGTTTATAGGTTTAATGAAGGTTATAGTAAACTACAATTATAGAGGTAACACATGCAGAACACCAGGAACAAAATCGTTACTTGGGAAAGTACAGACGCAACTTGTGCCTAAGTTATGCGACGTCAGAACACTACTAAACCTCATAAAGATCGATTTTTGACAGGAGATAAGAGACGTAGTAGAGACGATATTTTCTAGATAACTTGCTGGATAATAATCACGGTGTCACAAGCGGCAAAAAAATAAAGATAACTGACGTTAGCATTTTAAAACCAATGCATTCTGCCCACACAGTGTATTTATGTGTTCCGTATGGTTCTCACAATAAATAGCGATTATTTCCATAAACAGCATTAACCGGTTGGGCTTTGTAGCGGAGACGTAATGTGTTTCCTGTGAGGTACGGACTGAACTCTGCATTCTGCCCACACAGTGTATTTATGTGTTTCGTATGGTTCTTACAGTAAACAGCGACTGTTTCCCAAAACAACATTAACCGGTTGGGCTTTGTAGCGGAGACGTAACGTGTTTCTTGTAAGGTACGAACTGAATTTGTATATAATACAGATCTCTGCATTCTGCCCACACAGTGTATTTATGTGTTCCGTATGGTTCTCACAGTAAACAGCGACTGTTTCCCTAAACAGCATTAACCGGTTGGGCTTTGTAACGGAAACGTAACGTGTTTCCTGTGAGGCACGGATTGAATCTTCATATATTATTTATGTAACTTAACGCTTCAAAGGTTGATGGACAATTAATGTTACGTTGCAAATGATAATTCGAATACCCAGGGACGGATTAGCTTCCCAGAATCACAAAAGTAATGGTAGGAGTAAGAGCCGAGTACGAAGAGACATGTGGGATGACCATGGATGCGATGGAAAGACGAGATCTAAGTCAATTGTTAATTTGGATTTGTTCATTGTTCCAGTTTTTTATAACCATTGTATTTTGTAATATGGCTCCATTTTCGTCATCAAGAGTAGAAGAATTAGGAGCCCCAAATAGAGTTACTACAAAATTATGACCCCCATGTTCCGAAATTGAGTAATTTTAGAAATTCAATTCGATGAAAACGTCCAAAAGGAAAAGTCTTCAATCAGTATGTCACAGAGTTGTCACAAAATGTTAAATTTGAAGGCTAGTATTTTCTGGAATGTGACGGCAATCTTACCTATCATTTCGGAAGAATGTAACGAAGAGAAAGCCCCGCAAGCAGCAAGTAACAGCAAATCGACCCGTTCCCAGATAACCCACCCTTAATTGTCACCCCGTGAGGACTTGAGATCCAAAGGAATCAATCTACTCATACATTCGTGATTATGACTGCGAAACAATATCCTGTGACTCACAGGGTTGAGAACATGCGTTTCCGGAGTCAGCGAGTTTCGTCGTTGTGCCGCATGGAGCTATCTGTAATAGGACAGATGTCAGCACAATAGGCGCCTGTTTGTGTGTTTCCCAGGCAATGGGTCACTGCGAAGTTGTGCAAGGGGCAAAATGACGATGTAACTAACGTGGGAGAGGTCGACAATAATTTCCCAGCACAAAAAAAAAAGCCTGAAGGACACGGGAGATGTAAGAAATGCCCGTGATTTACACGAATGACACGCTTCCCAAGAAAACCCCTACAACAGAACAGTGACTATGACGAGGTTCGAACTCGTGCTTTTATGACACGGCGCTATAAGTGTCGTTACACAAGCATATGCGGACGGTGTCCTCAGGTATCCATTTGGCTTGCGGACCGAGAGATCCACATTTGCATCCCAGTTTGTAGCTTGCGGATTTACCGTTTTGGAACGTCTTGACATTTTCTTATTACTTTACATCTAACTTACTGTAGCATGTAGACCCCTTGCTGGGCAACAACAACTAGATAACGGCCCTTAAACAGCAGCAGAGAGCAATAGTGTTTTCTGTGCTGTCCGTGCCGACATGTTAAGCGCATTACAGTGAGAATTTAGTTGGTTTGGACTGCTGGCTAGAAGTCAGTTTGTATCCGGAAGGTCCTGAGACCGGCCAGCTCGACCAAGGTTTTCCGTGGTTTTCCTCGGTNCTCACTACGACCACCACTTCTCTCTCTCTCTCTCTCTATTTAGTTGGTTTACACAAGAGTCTTCTGACTCATTTGTGCTTGAAGGCAACAGGGATCCTTTGAGCCTTTCCTCTGACAGACCATTACTCTTCCTAGAAGCCCTGGCTTGCGACTTAGACGCTGCCTCGCTGCTTCCAGCCCCCTTCCTTCTGCGGGCCATGACTCCTGCTACCGGGATCACCATACATCCAGCAACAACCTTACAAACTATATGGGTCACTTCACGTGATGCTACATCCTGTGATGTCTGTACCTTGTTAAAGTGTGACGTGAATGCGTCTTCACAATTAAAAGGAAGTTGCTTTTCCTCGGTCCTAGAGCAAATGCTGAGTTGATACTCAAACTCCACGTTGCACTGCATGCCTCACATGCAGCCCTACCATTGG